ATAAGGATGTCACTGGGTCAAGCTTCCCTTCTCCAGGAGAGGGTAGATATTTTTCCCTAGTTACATACGTGGCGCAACCTGGGCCTTATAATTAAGGGTCATCGTCAGGAGAAGCTTTTATGTCGTTGGGCAACGCGTGCATACCAGATTTTTGTATATATTTCATTTATTTTGTAAGGGTTATGGTTTTGAGGGTGGTTTTTGATCTTCTAATTCCATCGACCTAACATTTTTTTATAGATTAGCTTAGAAAACAACACTAGGGCTTTGCTTATAGATGATTGGAGGTGGATTTCTTATAAACCAACGCTGACAAACCAGAAGATTTGTAGTTTATCTCTTCTCCTCTCTATGTATTTCTCTTTTGTTGGATATTGTATGTATTTTTACTTTGAAATCATGTATATTTGTCTCCCATGGTGTTACATAAAAATTTCTTTACAAATCTTTGTCGATTGTTGTTCTGGATTTTTGCTCTGTGTTTGGGATTTGGGTTGTTATAGACATATACTACTTGAATTCTTATCTAGGATGATAGTTTGTTAGTTTCTGGATTCTAGAGATAGATTTAGAACTTATATTCACTTGGGTGTATGTGATTAATGCTTCTTTGTTGGTTGTGTCTCTCTGAGAGATTGTTGACGCGATTAGCACAGTTGACTTATGTGTTGTTGAGGTGATTGAGAGTTTGTTACCGAGGTGATACAATCGGCCTCTCAATTTGGGTTATAAATGACTTAGGTTATGAGTGACACGTGGTTACATTGACGAGTATTATAGGTTGAGTATAACTGGACGATAGGTTTAAATTTGTGAAGAGTAATGTACATTCGTACAAGATAAGTTTGTCTTTCCTTTTCCTTTTTATACATTTAATTTTTGTTGATAACTTTTACCCTTTCTATTTAAACCCTTAAACTCATTAACGAATAATTTTTTGAATGATGACTCGATAACCAATCTTTGTGGACACGATACGATATAACATATATATCACCCAGTAAAATAATATTTTACTTTTTGCTTGCCGCTATACTGCTTCAGCAAGTACATCATAAAATATGATGCATGTGGGCTTAAGAGGGCCTTTTATCTTGTAGCCACAGAAGTGATTCTATAAATAGAACCCTTGTGTAGAAGAATTTCACTTGATGCAAATTCTCTCTCTCACTCAAAGTCAGCAGCTAGCACTGAGACCGAAGAGGATTCTGTTCATGTGGACTGAGTAGAGGCGTTGTTCTTCATCAACACTCGTGATCACTCCTTTGATTCTGCCTCAAAGGTTTTAATCGCCATAAGAGATAACTGTTTCTATCACTGATAATTCCCATTTGTAAGGATCACTAAAGAAATTCTTTTGTTTTCGGTTGCATTTTGAATAACGATTTTCCTTTAAAAACTTGGTTTGAGACGATGTAAGATGGGGGCTTCGCCTCTCACGCTCTATAGTGGGTAACTATCGAGAAGGGGTGAGCCGAGATCACCAAGTTCGTGATTGAAGTTTTGGTGTCCTTGATCATGTTACTTCTCGTATTCAAATTTTTGCTACTTTATCACACACTCGCCGTGTTTATGACAACACCACATTTCTAGTCCAAACGACTACATTCTATGTCTACATTTTGGATGGAGCAATGACAAATCCTCCAAATTTCTCTGACCTACTAGTGCAGGGATTGGAATTTTGCAAGAAAAGGCGGTTTGAGAGGTTAATAGAATCAGCCTGCTTGCTCCAAGAGAAGGAGAATGATCATTATGAGTGGAGATAAGTATCGACACATTGGTGTCAGTGGCAAGTGTAGTGTTGTGATGAGCGACCAATCAAATTGCTTTGGAAGCTAATATTGTTGAAAATTATGAAAAATTCAAAGTGACCAGATATGTTTACAAGAAAGTTTGCGACGGTGCAACAAAGGAGATGAGATGCATTTGACAGGTAATTTTGTAAGAATCAAGAAATGTTTCCCAAATACAACCCCATTATTTCTCTGTGGAACAGGAAATCTGTGATGTGGTGAGCAAGTACATAGTGGAGTCCTTTTGGTATGACTGTGAGAGTCTCTAGTATGTACAAAGGGGGTGTGTTTGCAAAGTTAGCACTCCAATACTCAAGTTAGTGAGGTCAGAAATGTTGGTGCACAAGGAGAGATGAAAGACAAAAGGAATATATTTAATGATGGCTACAGAATAAGGAATAATAAATTTACAATGAATTACATTGACCTACCTACTACTAGGCTATTTATACACAAAATTAGGGTATAATAAAAATACAAAAATACCCTCTAGCAAAGATATAAAAAGATATAAACAGATATTCCTAAAATATAAATTATTTCCAACACCATCCCTTAATTTATATTTACACAAAACTGACAACACCAATTCCATCCCTCAAACAAAGAAATTGACCAGTCTCGATAGCCTTTGTTAGAACATCTGCCAGATGCTTCTGGATGCTACAGTGCACAACTTATAATATTCCATTCTGAACCTGATTTCTTAGAAAGTGATACTTGGTCTCAATATGCTTGCTTCTCCCATGCAGCAATGGGTTCTTGGCAAGATTGATTGCAGACTTGTTATCAATCATCAACTTCATAGGTTTATTTACCTCAATCTTCAGATCTTGCAGCAAGTTTATAATCCACACAACTTAGCATGCAGTCATAGTGCCTGCAATATATTCAGCTTCACAGGTTGACAGCGCAACAACAAGTTACTTCTTGGAACACCAAGAAATAGGACCTCTCAGAAATTTGAATAAGTACCCTGAAGTACTTCTTATGTCAACTCTATCTCCACACCAATAAGAGTCTGAATAACTCAGAAGTTCTGATTCGATCTTTCTTCCAGAAGGAAATAACACTCTATACTTCAGAGTTCCCTTCACATACCTCAGAATCATGGCAACAGCTTGGTAATGAGACCACTTTGGTTTACTCATAAATCTGCTAACTATTCCAACTGCATAGCAAATATCAGGTCTGGTATTACACAAATACCTCAGAGAATCAACCATTTGTTTGAAGGTTGTAGCATTCACATCCTCTCCATCAGAATCAGATTCCAACTTATGATTTGTACCAACAGGTGTGATAGCAACTTTGAAATTCTCTAGCTCAAATCTCTTCTGAAGCTCAAGTTCATACTTCATCTGATGCAAAATGATTCCTTTCTCAGAGTACATAAACTCCATCCCTAGAAAGAAACTCATTTTCCCAAGATCTATCATCTCAAACTCATTCATCAAAATCTTCTTAAACTCAGCTATCTCTTGTTCAAAACTTCCTGTGAGCAATATATCATCAACATACAAATAAATCAGAATCATATTACCTTCTGAAGTGTGCTGAACATAAACACCATACTTCATCTCACACTTCTGAAACCCTTGTCCCTTGAAAAATGAATCAATCTTCAGATTCCAAACTCTGGGCACTTGCTGCAATCCATACAAGGCTTTGTGTAATTTGAACACCATCCCTTCCTGATTCTTTTTCTCAAATCCAGGAGGTTGTGACACGTATACCTCTTCTTATAATGGACCATTCAGAAATGCATATTTTACATCTAAATGCATCAGAGGCCAATTCCTGTTAGCAACTATTGCAATCACTAGTCTGATTGTTTCATGTCTTGCTACAGGTGCAAACACTTCAGACTAATCCAGCCCAGGCAATTCACTAGTCTGATTGTTTCATGTCTCCTTGTGTAATTCACCCAAAAATTCACTAAAAGTGTTTCTCAAATCCCACAGAATCAGAAAAATGGTTCTCAATAATACCTCATTGTTCACTCGTATTTCCTGTGTTTCTCCGTTGATTTCGAACCGGAGCTCTGAGACTAATTTTTGGTACACAATGAGAGATGAAAGACAAAAGAAATATATTTAATGACGACTACATAATAAAGAATAATGAATTTACAATGAATTACATTGTTCTACCTACTACTAGGCTATTTATACACAAAATTAGAGTATAATAAAATATTAAAATACTTTCTAAAAATGATATAGAAAAATATAAAAAAATATTCATAAAACATAAATTATTTTTAAAAGTTTGAAAGTATAGAATAAATGTAGTGTGAACCTAGCTTATACATAGAGGACAGTTGGAGCCTCCCTCGATGAATGTGTTGTGAGCTACAAGAGACCGCCATATTAGTTTCAACCATTTTGATGGAAGTTGTGTCTAGCTCTAGTGTGAGACTATTAAGAATTTGACCTTCGATTTGGAACAGTCTTATTGGGCTCTACGGCCCATACGAAACATATAGTTTTCACTATAAAAAAGGTCTATTTACAGTGGTAGTTTTTAAAAAATAAGCCAATAAATAGTCATTTAAATATTCACAATGTTTAAAATATGCATTATAAACGGATATTTTACTTTTGTACATAAGAATACAATGCTTCAAAACTTTTCAGAGTTCTGGTTTTTTAACCTGAAAATATATTTTATCATTTGACTTACCTACCACTTATTAATCATCAAATTTTTCGCATGAGCTTTATAAGTATTTAGTTAAATTTTTTTCCATCTATGTAGCACTTGGTTTGAATTCATTCCACAATTATGAATAGGTATCTCGAGTATCCAACATTTAAATATACTCTATACTCATCACTTGCCCTAAATAATTTTCTAATTACTCTCTATTTACCTCTCTTAATTCTTTATGGACTCCATTTGAGTGTTTTTTAAGGGAATTGCATGCATAGGATCAAATTTCCAAGAGCTAAAAAAGAAATAAAATAAACTAAATCTACTAGGTTTGCAAGAGGAAATATATAAGCATTTTTGGTGTAACTAATAAATAGAAAAGATATGCTGAAAACTTGATTCTGCTATGTTAAGTTACAATGCAAGAAGATTGAAATAAAGTACATTTAAAGTGTTTATATTTATTTGACAAGTACAAAGTACAAGTAAAAAAAAGCACTTCCTTAAAAAGAATTTTATTTGTAAAATTGATAAAACTTTATATTAAACTTACCAAGGTAAACCAAGATCTAGCAAATAATTCTCAGATTCTGACCACTGTTCTAAACAGCTTTCTTCTTCAGCATTGAACCAAGTAGGCTCAAATTCCATGAACTCATCAAAGACATGATCACATGCATGGTCTTGTGGTGCATCATTCTCCATTTTCTTCAAGAAATTGAACCACATAGTTGATGTAACAAAACTCATAGTGTCATTCCATTCCATTTGATATTGCTCTCCCAATGATCTCATCTCTTCCATACCTTCATCATCCATGGCTGCATGAGAGCCTCCTTCCTTCACCTGGTTTGTAGGAGTTGACTCAATGGTATCTACCATTGAGGATACATCTTCTCCTTGTGATATTTCGTTAACCGAAGGAATTTCGGGATCGTTTGTTAGATAAAGTGAAGGAGATAAAGATGGTGGAGGTGAATAAGAACAAAATGATAACTCATTATTGTTGTTGTTGATGTTGATGTTGTTGTCAAGTAAAAGGGTATTAGCATCTAAGTTGTTGATGTTGAAATCATGCAAATTAAGGTTCAATCCTAAAGTTTGATCTGGGAGGGTAATATTGGAATTTTCAACCATTGGTGAAAAGGATGAAGAAATAGGCCATGTTGGAAGTGAGAGTGAAGGATGAGAGAAAGAAGAAGAAGAAGAAGAAAAATAGGAAAAATCATTTGATAAATTGTCCATGCATGATGGATAAATCCTAGGATTTCTCCTAGACAACCTTAAATCTTGCTCTAAGTCAAAACTTGAAAGTTGTTGGTTAGGATGAGACAACCTTAAATCTTGTTGTTGTTGTTGTTGAAACTTTTGTTGTTTCTCTTCCTCACTAGCTTGTTTCATAGAAGCTCTATGAAATTTCAAGGCACTAACAATTTCTCTTCTAGCTTCAGCCATATTTAGAAGCTTTTCTTGATAAGGTCTAGTAGTATGAAGCCTTCTTCTACCTTGTTTTTTGTGAACTTTCACATGTTTCCTTAAATTTTGATCTTCATGATGATGTTTGGTGTTCATGGTTTCTTTTGGTTTTCTTGTGGCTACTAATTGTTTCACTAGGCTACGAATGTCAGCACTAGAGAGAGAAGGGTCTTGTTCTATTTTCATCACAATTTAGTGTGAATAGAATCAAGAGGGTTTTTTCCTCTTATACTAAAATTTTGAGGAATAAAAAAATTGCATATAATAAGTTGATAAATACGATCACGGTCGCGTAAAGACTTTCTCAATTTCGATTGGTATAAATGTTATACTAAAATTATAAATATTATAATATAAATTAATTATAATTTATTATTTATCAAAGAATAAACTATTGTTGTCGCTTTTAAAATACCTGATTTTTGTTTTTAAACCTTGCAAATAATATTGAAAATTTGAAGGGAAGTGCTGGTCCTATTTGATGAAATTCATTGTTGTTATAAATAGTTGGGACCAACATAAGGATTTTATTTTTTATTTTGGAGTTTTCTTTGTTTTGGTAAACTATGATTATTAGTATTTTATTTTTTTATTATCATGCTTTAAATATGGGTTCCTTATAAATAAGCAGTGGTCACTTTCTGTCTCAGTTATAGACCATGTCATGTCTTCAAGACTTTTCAACTATAAAAATACAAACATTGCCTCTTTTTGCTTAATCCTACACCAATTACATAATTTCTTCTCTTCTACTATAATTAATTAGGAGAAAACAGGTCGCATCTGTTATGTATTTTTATGAAAACATAATTTATTTATTTTAATTACCTACAATTAAGGGTTGCCAATTTATAAACTATTCAAATTTAATGAAATAGGATGGAGTTTTTTGAGAAGCATGGTAGAGATAAGAAGCTATCCTATCAGGTTGGAAAGTAAAGATCACAGTGGATATGGGTATAACAATGTTAAAATTAAACTTTTATAAATAAGTAAAAATAGAATTAGATTGTTTTTTTATTTAAATGTTGAAAAGAAAATATAAAATATTATTAATTATTCATACATATTAAAACAATTATATATTTAGATAAATAAATTATAATAGTAGAAAAATCATATATAATTAATATGACCTAGTAAAAAAATAGGATTGCACTCTAATTTCATTTATTTATTTGAGTTTTTAATATTTATATAATTCAATTTTAATTTAATTTTAATTTTAAAATTGTATGAAACATAAAAAAATTTATCAAGGAAAATTTTACTCACTTAAAAATTGTTTTAATTTCAACCACACAATTTAATTTAATGGATCAAATTTATTCTTTTCATTTTCACATAAATAAATTATTTTTATTTAATGGATAGTTGAGATGAAATTACTTTATTTTTATTTGATGGATAGTTGAGATCAAATTAGTTTTAAGAGTAACATTATTTTGAGTTACTATGTCCGATAACTTTTGGGGCACATTAAATTACAACAATTCAACTATCAAAGTAATAAATTTTTTATTAAATAGATCAAATTTATAACATTTTATAAAATTATAAAATTATTTAATATTAGAGTCAAATTCCATTTAAAATATAAAATAAAATAGAAACTTTAATTGTTCTGCTTACGTAAGTTGAACATCATCATTTGAGTCTGTTGGGAACACAGAACATGGTCATTGATTTAAATTAATTGTTATCCTAAGATAGATACAGAAACACTGCATACCTACCCATCCTCAACCCACACAAACGGGGTCTTGTTTTTCGTTCTATTGTGTTGCCTATAAAATATAAATTGGAAAAATGGATTAGATTCCTCAACCAAAAAATAAAAATAACAAATGAGATAAATGAGATGTTAATTCAATGCTGAGTTTTAAGGTTTTATTTAGATGAATGGATCAAGTTTACATTTTCTTATCAGTGTTGGTTTAAAGACCTACATGAATAATAATATTTTATAAATAGTTTAGGTCATGATTTTAAGCTGTCTTGATGAACCGTGGATAAATGTATATGACCTCCAATTTAAATAATATGATTTGATAAAAAAGAGATTTAAGGTTTTTTAATCTAAAAATAAAATAAATTAGTTTATCACAAAATATATAATTTTTTAAGTTAAAAGAAATAAAATAAAAGTTCATATAGTTTACCATTGACTTTAAATTGTTTTAATTTAAAAATAAACTAAATAAATATGTTTTGATGTGATTCTCCTACTCTTATTTATTGGATTTTTTTTCCAATTATTTTTGTCCATGGTTTAGTGACTAGTCTAAGGAGAAATACAATCATGAGTATTGAGAAAGAAAAGGAGAAATACAGTTAGAATTTATAGACTTTCAGAAATTTGATATGTGGAGTCAAAATAAAAATAATAACAATTAAAATAAATAGTTTTAAAGTCATAATAATTTATCAAAAATGAAAATAAAACTACCACAAATCAGAAGAAGATAAAAGACAAGAATATAATAAAAAAGATTTTTTGAGTTGCAACAAATAAATTCTAGCTCAATCTAAATCTTTCTCAATTTCTCTCACTCTCAAAATATGGATCTTCTAAATTTTAAGAAGTCTACAAAATTTGAAACTCCTTCTCTCTAAATTTACCGGCCTCTCCTAACCCTTCTCTTTGTCTTCGACGGATAAAATTTGAAAGATTGTGAAGACAAGCGAGACGCATATTTATAACTATTAAAACCTAAATGATTCTTAATAGACTCAAAACACAACTTATTAAAAATTAAAATAAAAGTATTATAAATATTTTATAATATCTTTTATATTCATATAAAATATTATAAATATTTTATAATATCTTTTTTATTAATTTTGAATATTATAAAGTTCTTATAATATCTTTTTTATTAATTTAAAATATTATAAATATCTTATAATATTTTTTATATTAATTTAGAGTATCTTAAAATATCTTTAAATTGATATCAAATATTTTAATTTATAAACGGATCCACATATTATACTAACTAGACCTGATACTTGCATGTCGTTCGAATCAGACCCGCCGACCGCTAGACTTGCTTCTACGACTCTCTGATTTTTGACAATTTCAAAACAAGTTTTCTTTTTCTTCATCACTATAAGATTTTAAGGCATACTTCAATAATGAATGTTAAAATTAAAAGGAGAAATACAATCATGAGTATTTGATCACTTTGATAGATTATTTTACTGAGAAGGTAAGATCAACAACATACCACAATACTTTAGAACTATATGAGACTCTGCTTCTTCATCAAAACCTTAAGACAATTGGTAAAAGGATGGAAAACAATCATATTTATCTCGTTTAGGGTCCTCCCGCAAAAGCCAACAAAAAATAGGGCAGACATAATTGGGGGTGTGAGTCTAATACCTTGAGTCTCCCTACAAAAAAATGAGAGCGGTGTAGGGACGGCACGCAGACACTGCATATTTTAAATTTAAGCATAAAAATGAAAAAAATTATATTAATGCATGCGCCCGCAAAAGCCTACTAAAAAACAGGATGGGGGCGGGATAAACACCTTAGAGGGTGTGAGCCTAAAACCTTGGTCCATCCCGTAAAAAAGTGCTGGAAAAACGAGCATGCCTAATGGACTAGATCCGTTTTTCCACCCTTAATTTAGTATATGTGTCAATATTCTTATAAATTCAATATTTTACTCATTCATAAAGTTGTATAACTTAATAACATATACTTGAACTTAACAATCTCTTTCATAAGTGTGAGTTTCTACCTTCTATAATAGTAACTAACATAGGATCCAACTCCCTCATTCATCCCACCAAGTTGAACTAAACTCTCATGCCACTTGCAGGAAATTTTATAGAAGGCAAAAGCAAAAACATGCCACAATACTCCATGATCAAAAGAGAGAAAAAGTGACACATATTCACTCAAAATATTAAAACACGATATATATGAGTCACATATCTTATAAATTTAACATTATAGTCATTGATAAACAATTGAGAGTTAAGCATTCACATTAGAACTTAAAAACTTTCAATTTCAAATTTTGAGTCGATCGTGTATATAAGCCAAATTTATGGTATTAAAAATATATAGAAATTTGAGAAGGAAAAAGATATAATCTTTTTCCGATTATCACTTGTATTAAAAAGCACAAGAGGTGCTAACCCAATACAAAAGGAGAGGACAACCAACAAGATCTCCAAAAAAAACACAACAAAACAAATAAACTACCATCCAACATACACCACTGGATTGGGGAATCACTTCTCTTTAACAAAATCACCACTACCTTTGGACAAGATAGACATCCAATTCCACCATATCTTCTTAATGAAAAGAAATGTACCAAGACCATTCCAAACACCATTATAAAATAAAAAAAACTGATTTCTACCATTTCACACACACCAACAGACCAACGATAACAAAAATGTTACAAAAGAATGTTTAACCGTTACGGATAACAAAACCAAAACATCCTCAAAAGAGGCCAAACCCCAAGCAACGCATTCCTCATCAAAACACCCCCAAATGCCCACCAAGATCCACTCCTAGCCAAAGAAACACATCTTTCCAAAGCCTCGCTACCTTGATACAACCGAAGAAAAGGTGGTCTAACGACTCTTTCTCTAACTCAAAAAGCGGACAAGAAGTATCACTTCCAGAAAGTTCTTCACCCCTATGACATAATTCAAGTCTAATCGGTAAGGCATTAGACAAGAATCTCCAACCAAACAATTAAAACTTGCAAGGCACAACATATTTCTATAACCTCTCTAACTTCCCTAATTTCCTCTCATCCAAGAGAACCACATTCGAGTTGCTTAAAGAATATATCTACTTATAATCGTTCTTAATCGAAAACCCCTCTGCATTCCTCCACCATACCAATGTTTCACCCACCGCTATATCCGGCCTAACACCTTCCAACAAAGAATTCAACTCCGCCCACTCCCTCACAATATCTCCCACCAAAACATTCTCCTCAACACATAAATCCCAATGCCATATATTACCTTCCTAAAACCCCATGTTTTCCACAAAAGGAGAACAAACATCTAATAAAAGCAGGAAAAGTACCTTCAAAGGTGTAGGATATAACCAA